CACACACACACAAAACCTTCTTTCTGTACTTGGAGATGTTGCGAAGCATCAAAATTCCCCATGCTAAGAGATTTTCTGGATAAATGTGATCACTTAAGGAGTCTGACTGATCAAGATTACTGAATAAATCAGTATGTAATTAGTTTATTCTATTGCATAATGCAAAAATGTACAATGGCTAGAAAGCTTATATTTACTAGTATAAAACAGTGTTAGTTCAGACATCGTTCCTTTTCCTAACATGCTTAAATAGCTTCATGTTCATGTGGCACAATTTCGAGTGTCCCAAAGGGATGACTTAGGGGTTGAAGAGCGTGGAATTACGAGGGAACCAAGGTCTGAGCAACTGACTTTCATGGTTTTCATGTGGTTATTATATGTATTATTTTCTCGATTATGTATTCACCAATATCTTGGCCCTCTGAACTAGGAGCATCGTGTTTGCTTTGAAGCAACTGTATGGTACTGGCATTTTCAGTAGAGACGAAACTATTGTACTGGTTCTAATGGAGGTAATAAATATTTGAAAAATTAGTCAAGTTACGCACAAACTAATCAGACACCACCGTTATTATTCCCCAAAAAAAAGGAAAGAGAGAATGAAATTCAAGTAGCAAGGCTTGATCTGAAAGATCTACAAATGGTTGATCTCGAATATCTTTAGATTGTTGAACGCTTGAAGTCCTCACGAAAGTACAGTGGGAATGCATTCATATTAACAGGTAGATAAAACTGGAAAACCAAAACTGTGAATCAAGAATGTTTCAGAGGAAAACAACTGCTCTGATTTTTCAGTCAACAAAATCGGGAGTTTGTGTGAGTGTATGCGTGTCTAAAGAAACGGTAAAGTTGTTTCTGTGTGACCTAGAGGTCACGGATTCGAGTCGTGGAAGTAGCCACTAGTACTTGCATTAGAGGCTATCTGCATCACACTCCATTGGGGTGCGGCCATTCCCCGGACCCTGCGTGAATGCGAGATACTTTCTGCATCGGGCTGCCCTTTTTCGCTTTTATTTTCTTGTTATCTTGCTGATGTTATAGTCTGTTGCTACTGCTTCTTTTTACAACTTTCCTTGTGCCAAGTGTCTATCAGAAACAGTCTCTCTACCTTCTTAAGGTAGGGGTAAGGTACACTACCCTCCCCATACTCGTGGAATTACATTGGGTTTGTTATTGTTGTTCTATTCTAAAGAAACAGTCAACTACTAAGAGAATAATTAGAATGATATGTATCAAAATATTTTGCATTCATTTCCTTTCGATCTAATGAAAGTAAGAATCCATAATCTCAAGTTCATTATCTTGCTCCTTGAAAAAAGCAAGCATATAAAAAAGGCTCAAATCCATTATAAAAATATTAATTAATACAAAACATGCCCGCAGTTTAGATGGTAACTCTTCCACAATTAACAACAAGAGTAATTCAACAACAAAAAAAGCAAGGAATAAGTCTCAAAACTAGTTAAAAACAGCAGCTGATCATTCAATGAATTGCATCTTCTTCTGATGAGGCCATTGCAAAATTATGCAAGCAGTTGTATCTTGCAAAGATGGGAAAACAAATCTGTTGTAATTTCTTGCGCGTATCGACTATTGCTTAGCTTTTGATGGCTCCTGTAATGATGCCAAGAAAAATAGAAATTTATGTTAGTAGAGTCAAAATGATGTAAACTTTAAAAATGGAAATAGGTCTAGTTAATAACTCACTTCAGTTTCAGCAGCTTTGGCATCTGCAGATTTTGGTTCAGCAACTTTTGGTTCATCAGCCTTCACATTCTCTTCACCTGTACAAAAAGTCATCTTTAGTATTGCTTCCAAAAGAGTTCTATGCACTGACAGCGTAAACGATATTTACTAAATCAGGTCATTAATGAGGTAATTACAAGAAAATCTATGTGTTACGCATCAAAAAATAACTTAGTGAAAATGGTACTTACCATGCAATAAAGAGGCTAAACTACCCTGATAGTGTGAAAGATATGTACACTGTCAGTATATATAACTTATATCTTTCTTGCATTCGAAGGTGGGTTCTGAATTATAGGACAACAATCTCAAATGCTAGTAACTGAGTTATAAATTTTTTTTTTTCCATATTTAGTGAATTTCTTGCTATACATATAAGAGTTGGCCTAAAGTTACTAGATTCTGCTTAAACCATATCTTAAAGCCTACATCCACCCCAGTTTGCATTACCATACTTTCATGATTACAGTAGAAATAGTTTTATATCACATAGACCTCAAAGAATTTGAAAATGTTTGACGTGTGAGTTGCCGAGAGTCCAGCGGAAACAACATCCTTGCCCTCTCAAGGTAGAGGTAAGGTCTGTGTACACACTACCCTTCCCAGACCCCACTTGTAGGAATTTACTGAGTTTGTCGTTGTTGTTGTATGAAGTGTGAGTTATGCTTGATATAGTATGACGTTTATAGAGTTTAGAGATACTTCAATGTTATTGGACTACATTCTATATCACTTATTTGGATAATAGAATTACCTCCATCTTCAGGCAAATCAGAGGTCCATAGTGTGAGATTGTCTCTCAACAGCTGCATGATTAAGGTACTGTCCTTGTATGATTCTTCACTTAAAGTGTCTAACTCAGCTATTGCCTCGTCAAAAGCTTGTTTAGCCAAATGACAAGCCCTGCAAAATTGAATTGTCAATCTACATCATCTAAAGGGTCTGGCCCTTCCCCCTTCCCCGGACCCCGCGCATAGCGGGAGCTTGGTATACCGGGCTACCCTAATCTACATCTTATCATATCATATATTTACAAGAATAAACAAAATTGGTTATGAAGTGCTACCTTTCGGGGGAGTTCATGATCTCATAGTAGAAAACAGAGAAGTTCAAAGCAAGACCAAGCCGGATCGGATGTGTTGAAGAAAGATCAGTGTTTGCAGTGGCAGTAGCAGCCTAAAAGGGATGCAAAATCAAGTGCTGATCTAAGTAATGTGCATCGATTGCTGGTCTAAGTAATGTGCATCGATTAATCGACTAATCGTGCAGTTTCAGAACAGAAGAAGAATTAACTTGCCTCATAGCCCTTCAATGATTGTTCAGCAGCCTCTTTCCTTTCAGAATCAGTCTTGAACTCAGCAAGATAACGGTAATAGTCACCTTTCCTGCACCACAGAGAGAAATATAAGAACCTAAATCTATCAGAAATCTACTGAAAACTGAAAGAATTCGGTTTGGACCAGCTGCTAAGGACATGAAGAATCTCATATCCTTCTTATGGAGGGCCCGAGACATCAGTGAGATACCATTCTTGAACAATTAGAATTCTAACCTTGTGTCGGGAACGACAGGCCAAGGGGCAATCTCGGTTAGACATTTACATAGGGCGTATAGGTGGGGAGCTAGCACTGACAATACGGGTCTGGCCGAACCCAGTAACTTTGGTCCAAACCCTGTATTTGTCTTAAGCAATCCACTTAATGGGTGCAAAAAATACTAGAATTTCGAAATCATAAACTTTAAACCCTGTCTTCGCCTCTGCTTAGGCCTCCCAAAAGGTATCAGAAGCGTGTGCAAAAGGTTACTCAAGCCGAACAAAGATTGGCCCTCGAGTGCTAAAATGATCAAAATAAAAAGGATAGAACTACCTACTCATTATTCGGAAGTGAATCATAGAACACCAAAAATTGTGGTATCTTATGGACCTAACATAGGTCACATACCTCTCGACATAAGATTGAAATATCCAAACCTTCTTCTTCGGAGTGGAAAAGGACGTGGCTAAAACATTTAAAGATCGGCCTAGCCGCTCATAGGGACATATCTATCAGGATAGAGGATAGTCTAGGTTGATTTATAGATAGATCTCTCTCCATATAGATCGGTATCTTAGAAGGGGTTTACTCGGGCCAAAGGGAGATTGACCCTCGAGTGCAAAGGCAGAAGGGAGCTTAATTTCAAAACTCATCCGTTGAGAAAGTTATAGAACTGTTATAGGTTTGACTTACATTTTGTAATAGAAGACAGTAGCTTCACCGGTACCAGCAGATGGAATAAGGTGTTTGTCAATGATTTCAAGAATGTCAGAGCAAATCTTGGAGAGCTCTTCCTCAACCTTTTGACGATAGCCTTTTATCAGCTTGACATTGTGCTCGTTCCCTTTCGATTCTTCTTTCTGTTCAATGGAAGACATAATTCGCCACGAAGCTCTTCGAGCTCCAATGACATTCTTGTAACCAACAGAAAGCAAGTTCCTTTCTTCCACTGTCAATTCCACATCAAGTTTTGCAACTTTCTTCATACTCTCAACCATTTCTGTGATATCAAACCAATGTAAAGTCAAGATTCATACATTCCATTTAAGAGATCAGATAAGATGAGGAGAAGCGCTCAACATGTTTTGAGCCTCGCTTTAGGGCTTAAGCGCGCCTTTGATAACATTGAATGAATATTTCAATCTTTAGCCACAAGCATTATTCCAAATTGATGAGAATTTCAACCTTTAGCCAGAAGCATAATTCCAATGAAAAGGCAAGAAACTCTATTCCATTAAATGTTCACTGTGTTCCACATTTTATATTTGGATTATATAACCTCAAACAACCACTATTGATCAATGTGTACCAACAAAAAGAAGGTGCAATACATTTATTAACCATGAAAAGGGATTAATTTTGTGTGAAAGACAGATGCCATGCACCTATTGCTTTGATGCATGTACCACGAGCAATGGTGGATCTAGAGTATTATTACCCGTTCTTGGAACACGGTAACTTTTGCTTAAACGTTATATTTCTATTAAGAAATTCACTAAATATTTGTAAATATTTAACTGTGAACCCAGTTATTATTGTATATTAATTTGAGATTACGGTAGGAATCCATAAACTTTAAATTCTGGATCCGCCTCTGACCATGAGTGAATAAATATTCTTTTGCTCGCATGCACATGTACCTCTTATACTCCATTTCCCAACTATTTTACATAGAAAATACCAATAAAAAGATGCAAATGAATCTAGCATATAAACAATAGGTGCATGTACAATACGTATATACAAAACTTAAAAGAAAATATAAAGTCTTAAAATGCCAATATTATACTGGGTTTGTTGTTGTTGTTAAAATGCCAATATTAGCAACTAGTACTACGCTTTAAATCAAGAATCCGTCTAAGGTACAAAAAATATTAATGCAAGTATAGATAACAAAGCAAACTGAATTAAAGAAAGAATTGAAGAGGGAAAGAAATGAAACCATCATAACGCTCAGCTTGTTCAGCGAGTTTGGCCATGTAAACATGAGTTTCTCTCTCTTTTTGGGACGCCATTTTCAATTCTAACAATCAAGAAAAAGCTAGGATGAAAAGGAATATGATAGAGATTGTTAAATGGTGAAATTCCAAACTAAAATAGAGTAGAATATTTCAAGTTTACAAATGAGAGAGAGATGAAATTTTTTTGGGGAGTTAAGAAGGAAAGGAAGAGCGTGAGGAAAGGGAAGATTAATGAATAAGGATGAATGAGAGAGTTGTGGGAGGATTGACTAAATCTCCATCTTTGGATCATTACTATTTACTACTACACCATTGATAGTAAAATTGGTAGACCGTGAAAATCGTAACTTAAAAGGGATAGAATTTAATTTTTGGATTTAACTTGTAGTATACATTAACGGTGTGAAAACAATATTTTCACTAGCATTATATATTTTAGTATAAGTAACGAATATGATTATCGCCTGTTATGAGGTTACCATTAAAATTTTGTCCGTATAGTTTAGTGGATTAAATTTCGCCTTTAAATATAATTAAAAAATATTTTTTTTTACAAATAAATTTAGCTCATCGGAATAGCCGATACAGAATTAAATAACGGTCTCAAAAAGGCCAATTAATTCTTGTTTCCTAAAGGGAGTGATGACTTTCACTTTTGTAACATCTCAATTTTTTTTCCTTCATTCAGCAAGTTGGTAACTAACATAATTTCTTCTAAGGCATGATACCATGATATTTTGACATGTAATCATGGTTCCCAACTATCACATACTAATATTTTTAGTTCCTTCGTTTTTATTATTTTCGTTTTGTGGTTTTATTTTATTTCTATAAACATTTTTTTGTTTCAACAAGATTCGTATATTCCTCAATCTTCATGATTTAGCTCTAACATTTTACATGTAACATAGTTCATTATCTGTACAAATAATCGGGATATAGTCTAGAAAAAGTAATTAAGTGGCAGATTAAGGGATTTTGGGAGGATTGATAAATTTTTTAGACACAAAAAATATCTTATTAGTTACGCCAAGCAAGGAATCACAATTTCTACATCTAAAGGTTAAAAATTCTCACTGAAAAAAATTGGTATGAAAATTTTTGGGACGACACAAATAGTCTTTTGTGGTGATCGGGTGACCCTATTTGCAGCCACGAATTATTTGTATTTAAAATTTAGAAAGTAGTAAACACATTTGTAATATGATTTTTCTCCAGATGCATACCTTGTATTTTAACATCATATACTTAGCCTCCTTTACAATGACAATTATACTAATTACTAGTTTGATGATATTTTCGCTTTCGGTAAAGAGCCAAATATACCCTTGTACCATGAAAAAAGGTTTAAATATACTCTTTGTTATACTTCGGGTTCAAATATACCGTTGCCGTAATACTATTGGTTCAAATATACCATTCTTCTGTTAAGTTTGTTCAAGGTGGACATCCAATCATGCACGACACTGATATTTGATGAGATGGATGCCACATGACATGCCATCTTTGCGCCCCTAATCTATATATAAAAGACTAAAATTTGAAATACAATATTTTTCGTGTAGCGGTAATAGTGGCAATAGTGGTGGAAGAGAAAGAAATTTTAGTGGTAAAAAAAAAATATAAGGGAGGGGTGAAATGATTTAGGGGCGATGAGGTGGCAAACCATGTGCCATCCAACTCGTCAAATATCAGTGTCACGTCGGATTGGATGTTTATTTTGGACAAACTTAACGGAAAAAGGGGTATATTTGAACAAATAGTATAGCGACATGAGTATATATGAACTCAAAATATAACAAGGAATATATTTAAAACTTTTCTGATAATACAACAGTATATTTGGTCATTTTCCGTTTCACTTTACTAGTATTACGACCCGTGCGCGATGCACGGACATTACTAAAGAATATTAATCTTATCAAAGTATAATCTAATTTACTTGAGCATGTTAGATTATGGTTTCAACTAAATCATAATTATCGTCTTACCTATCCAATAATAAAAATTCACTGGAACTAAATTAAATGAATCATATAATTATCGAATAATTTTTGAATAATACTCAAATATCGTAATTATATAGGTTGTGCTATAAATAATATGAAAATTAACATGATCCAAAACAAATAAGCTAATAGATATTGTCTTAAAATTCCCAGTAGCTTTCTCGATCTTCAAAATTAAAAATTAAATTTTCTCTCTATATTATTTTTAACATAATATTTAATAATAATTTCAATCGTTATTAAAATTACCTATATTATAAATTTGTTATATTTCTAAAATTTTAATGAGTTGCTTGAAATTTCTTAATTTAAACTTTTGTCATCCTAATATAAAAAGATTTCTCATCCCAAATTCAAAGTATTCCAACACTTATTTTAAGTTGATTTTTAATATCATGTCAAAATGTGATTTAGTTTATTTGAGTAAATTAAATCATATTGGTTTTTTCAAATTCTAACTATCAGCTTATTTGCTAATTCAACCTATGAGACTCTTTCATAACTACTTAATNCCGGTACCTTAATTGTTGGCTCTTTAAATTTTTTAAAATAGGGTCATTCAACATATTGAACTATTACTACTTCTATCAACACGCGCAAAAAAATTAAATAATAATACATTCTAGAAAAACTAAAGAACTATAAACACATATAGAACTATATCTAATTAATAATACATTTTCACCCTTCTTGTATGCATTCCCGATTTTCAGTATACAGAGATTTCAATTTCAATAATGATTAAATCCACCTCTTGTGGTTTTCTTTAGGGAATATCCAGGATGATTTCGTTATGGATGAAACTATTTCATCTTGCAACATAACCAATATTTGAATTTTTCTACTACTATTTTCAAGTTAGACCGTATAAAAATTAGACAAACTACATAGGAGACCAACTGTATATAGGATTTTTATTTTAGATTCAAAATATTAGCCACGCATTTAAAAATTGGGAGTTATCTAGAGCTTGGATAAGACTTTGATCTTTTTTCTTTTTCAAAAGGTATAACAGTACAGTTAAAGTTTATTTTTTTTTCAATCCCCAAACTTAGAAGTCACGTAATTGTTCGCTCCTTTGAAATATGTACTAATTTGTTTTCAAAGCATACAGGGAAAGCAGTTTTTCTCTTAATTTTTTTTAATTATATTTCGTTCAAAATTCTAAAATAGGAAGTATCTTTTTTGAAAATTCTTACATATTAGATTTACAATTGTTACATTTATGGATTATCTATGCGTAGTAGGAAGAATTATATTATGCATGAGAAACCGCAAATGAGCAATTGTAAGGACTGTAATTTATTAATAAATAGATAGATAATAGTTTTAAAACTAATATAAACTTCTCAACACGTATAACAAATGGATAAATATTATTGTTGTAAATTAGGAGCAAACCGTGTATGTTGCTTGACTATATCTTAGGTGTTTTATATTTTTTATATTTCAACCTCTTTTTTGTTTTTGTAGATTTAAATATTATATTTTTGGACACCAACTCAGTTATAACTAATGAAATATTTGACTTATCAAGAAGAATGACTTGTAAATCCAGACATATCAAGAGTTGTCTGATAATAGCTAACTATCAACCACAAATAAAAATAGAAATTATATGCTAAGAGGTGAGCCAAACATGGGGAAAAAAGAAGAAGCGGCATTACCAATTGTCCAACATTCGATAGAAGACTGCGAATATATCTTGCACCTCTTTGCTCGATACAAAATCTCAGAGTAAATTTATGAGTTACAGATAAAGAGAGGAATACTTTTGAGTTTTCTAAAAGGATGATTGGAAAAGTTTTGGAACCAATCACTCGCTAATCACAAAGCGAAACATTCTCAGAGTTTCAATATGAATAAATTAAAAAACTTACCCTAAAAAACGTGGGAGGAACTGATGTTAACTGAATTGACAGGTTTACATATTTTGAACCTATTTTCTATTCTAATCAGGTTTAATTAATAAATTAAAAAAACTGCCATTTGATATTAAGTGTTTATTGAATTAGCAGGTTTCAATTTTTTCAACCTGAACTTTTCACGTTAATTGATTTGGTAACTTTTTTTAAACTTGTCTTATATTTTAAATTATTTTAGAATCTCCAAATTTATTGTTGAACAACTTCCCAATTAGAATTGATATTTTTTTATTTTTTAAATTTTCGTTTTTTATTATAAACTAATTTTAAAATTCAAACTTTTCAGGAGCTTTGTCCTAAAAATGTACATTTGTCATGTTATGGTTATGCCACTTGACTTGGCTTTGCCTTTCCTTTTATTATATGTATAAAATATAAATAATATAATATAAATATAATAATAATATATAGACATAGATATAGATTTTTTTATTTCGATATTTATTATAAAATAAATTAAAAGTTCCAACTTTGTTGGAGCTTTGTCCTAAAAATTTACACTTATTGTTTTATGGTTATACCGCCCTTGGCATCATATAATTATTTACTTCTCTTTATATATATATAATACACACACACTACAATATTAAAAAGAAACTACTCCACAATTTGAATCAAAAGTTTTTTGTTTCTTTATTTTCGTTTTTTTATGTTAAAATAATTTTAAAACTCAACTTAAAACTACTCCCCAATTTGAATTGGTAATTTTTTATTTTTTTAATATCATTTTTTATTTTAAAATTATTTTGAAACTCCAACTTGAAACTACTCCCAACCAATTTGAATGGTAGTTATTTTTTTATATATTTATATTTTCGTTTTTTATTATAGTTAATTATAAATATATATATATATATATATAGCTGGTAGTTTTTTATTTTTTATTTTTTATTTTTTTATAGATATTTAAATTTAAAAATAATAACCAATAACTAATTAGTAACTAATTATGCCA